TAAGTTTCATTCTTTTCTCTGTAACTCCAGCTGCTAGAAATTTTACATCCAGCTTTCTTTAAGCAGATTTTTTTGAATGTGCAAAATACAACACGCTGAAACATGCAGGTAAGACCCAAACACCCCAGGTTTCCATGTTCACCCCTCATCACTCCTCTTCTACATTCTTCTTCCTCAGGTTGGCTCTACATCTATGCACCCTCTTCCACTAAATAGAATTAAATCTGTATTTTCACAGGTTTCTGTCTTGGACGATTAAAAAATCAGGGAATGGTAATCAGAGAGCTGATACTACTTTAATATCCTAGCAGAACATGTTCTTCTGGTCTTTTCCAGTTTGCTAAGGCAGAAAACCTACCAGAAGCCAACAATAAAAAGGTCATCATAGCCTGGGATGAGAAGGTGCAGCACTCTGGGGATATCCAGACTCAGTGGCCAAGGAACAGGGAGACCTGGATGATCCTTTTATGGGCCACACATTAGAAACCTCCCTGGCAGTGCCCATGCTGCAAGGAGGCAAGCCAGGGGGCAGTCAGGAATGGGCTGGTTTCCATCCCCAGGGCTTTGGACCAAAAACCTCAGTATAAATTGAGAGGGGCCTGCAACCTTCAGAAATAGTTTACTAGAAGTTAAATATCTGTGGCTTCTCATCTGCCTTAATTCTGTTTCAAAATTCATTCAACCCTTTCCTCTCACAGGACTCAACACTTGCCTGCAATTTTTCATCCACCTCGCACAAACGTTTTGTGACCAAGCAGTTCTCATAGGTTGCCTTTCAATTATGGAAACAAAGCCCCTTCTTCTTCAGGTGTGGCTCCATTCAGCTCTGTAATACTTTACCCAGCTAGAAATGATGCAAAGTCAGCCTTCCATCACTCCTATCAGAGATTGTTCAAGATCCACCTGGATGAAGCCCTGAGCAGTCTGATTTGACCTCCTGGTGTGCCCTGCTTTGAGCAGGAGGTCAGGCCAGAAGCCTCCAGAGTCCCATGACAGCCACAATTTTCCTGTGAACCCTGTGGCTTTCTGATCACTGATGCCTTTCATTAACCCACTCCATCCAACGGACTGAAAAAACATTATCCATAATGTTTTGCAATTAAAACTTACTTCTGATATATTTCACTGGCATCTTTATTCCACGATAATCTCCACCCTCTATCGATGGTATTCCTTGGCCTCCCTTTTGCCTCTGGCAATCAGTGCTCCTTTAGAGCAATAAACCTACTGGCTGCCTTTCCTTTTCCAAATCATTCTTCCACTGACGCCAACAGAATAGGAATGTCAATCTAAACACTGATTTTTCAATGAAAACAGATTTGAGGTGAGACCATTCTCCACACATGTTCTTAGAGAGTGAATATTCCACAGCTCAGCAGCTCCTGGCAGTATTTTGGAGCTCTAGGGCACCCATTACTTGTGACAAGAAGTAGGCTGGCTAAAGATGGAGAAGTTGTAAGGTAACCACTGCAGCTGTACAGGGGCTGCTGTACCCCTCCCATTCCTGTAAGAGCACTGCCTGCCCAGGCACCCCTTCTCTTGGCAGACCCACAATTTCTAGGGCAAGATGACTTGAGTATCTAGGCTCACTGGCTACTGGGGGCCTTTTGGGGAGCATCTCATTAATCACTAGACCAAAAGTCCCAGCGTTCTATCTTTGTCCACACATCTTTGCAGTGAAGAGTCTGCTGTTGCAGTCTCTAGAACTTTGTGGGCACAAAGAAACAGTAACCAAATAGCCAAATCCAACACAATTACATCATTATCCAAATACCGTTCTTATTTCCATATTTCAGGAAACATTCCTCTAATCTAATCTTCTAATCCTTCTAATGCTCTCCAAGGGGAGCTGTGCAGCATTTTCCAGGGCTTGTTTAGATTGGAGATTAGGAAATATTCTTTGAAAGCACTGTCAAGTTGCAACCAAGAAAGGTTGTCAAGCACTGGAACAGGCTGCCCAGAGAAGTGGTCACCATCCCTGGAGGTAGGTAAAAGTCGTGCAGATTTGGCATTTGGGGACATGGTTTTTTGGTGCTGGGTTGGCAGTGCTGGGTTAATGACTGGACTGGATGATATGAATGATCTTTTCCAACCTGAACTATTCTGTGATGTTATGATTCCATGACTACAGTATAATACCAGGGCTGCAGCTGAGATCAGGAATTTGCTGTAGATGGTTGGGCCTACAGCAGAAATTATTTATCAAGTGATAACCTCTGCTCTGAAGATTTTGCACCTCAAAGAAAAAAACAACTTCAGTGAAACCAGCAAATTGTACATGATCTTGTATGTGATAGAAATTATCTTCGCTGACTGTTGTATGTTATTTACATAACACCAAAACTGCATGTGCAGCTGCTACTTTCCACTAGATCAGTGTTTTTCAAAAAGTTGTGAGCTAGTGACAATTTTAATGCACAGCCACATATTTTCTTTCATTCTTGCTTTTGCAGTAACAGTCATAAAATACCTTTTTTTTCCACGTAATAAGAGTCACTGCTTCAAAAAAGACCAAAACACTGTGATAAGACAAGCCATGCTAAGCAACAGTGACATCAATTAATGGTACGTGGGAAATAACTTCCTTCTGAGGATTTCTGTATGCTAAATTAACTTGGACAAATAATTGAATTCATAATTCAAAAAAAAAAAAAAAAGTTTGTTGCTATATGTCCATTGCTCTTACCCTGCATTTTTTTATTTCAATTCTACATTTGTGGCAATTGAATTTAAATAATTCAATCTTTCTAACCCAACTTGTTCAGTTTCCATCCAAGAAAACTACTTATGAAATAGTCTAACACTTTCTCCATCAACTGAAGTCAGCAGTTGAGACTAACACGAGTCTTGTTTTCTAAGAGTGACACCTAGAGTCTCATCTGCAAAATTAAAATGCACTCCTTCACTTGCCCCATTTTAAAAGGCAACAAGCTTTTGTCCATACTTATTACTTTGAATTGACAGTTGGATATATTTAATACCAATTATTTTGCTGTGTTTTCGTGAAGACTGAGAGCAATAATTGTTGTTAGGTACTCTGCATATGGCATATATCACTTACCACAACACTTTTGCATTAGGTAAAGTCCTTTATTTTGCAGATGCTGCGTTTTGGCTTTCATCCAGGAATGTTTAATCGGCTTGCAAATGCGATTTTCACTACTGTATGAAGGGATGCATCATTCCCAGAGGTACTTTCATTTTATAGAGAAGGCAACTAAGAATCCGCAAAGTGTCCCAAGCCTTATGGAAAATGAGGGCTGAAATACACAAATCCTAAACTTTTATGCCACAAAATAGCTTGATTTCCTTGTCAGATGAATGGAGGCTGAGCCTCTCTGCAGCCTGACCTCAAACCCTGCTGTGGGAGGTCTGCTGGCTGCCCATGCCCACTGCAGAGCTGACCCCAGAAATGCAGTGTGGCAGGGAAGGTGTCACTTGCCCTTTTTCAAAGTCATCCATCTTTTCATGTCTTCATGTGTCACACACTCACTGGGTGTGCAAAATTTCCACAAGAGAAGTCTTTGGCATCCCGAACCACCTAAAACCACTGCCCGTGGATCTTCCCAACTGAACGTGGCAGTGTTTCTGTTTGCAGGTGTCACTGGCTCCCCTCTCAGGCAGAGAAGCAGCATCCTTCCAACTCACAGATCCCAGATACTGCTCCCTACCAGCACCAAGTACTAGACAGTTATGTCTGATGAAGGCTGGAGACACCATGCCCATGGTCAATTTTCTATTCCATACACCAGAGTTTGGATAAAAAACACCGAAACTGAAAGCAAACTTGAATTTCAAAAACTAACGCGTGAGCTGTGTAAAAAAATCCATGAAAAGGGACGTTGTGTTAATTAAAAGTTAAATTACATACTCAAAAAAGATCATGACATCAAATTTTCCACTGTCCCTCTAATTAACCATTTTATCTTCAATTAAAAAAAAAACGTATTTTTCATAAGAACTCCTTTATATTAGACACTTGCCAGAAGAGAAACTAGCTCAGGCTCATCAGTGCCATCACACTAATGGTTTCAAATGCTTCTGACATAGTAGAACTATGTGATTTGAAGATTTGCAGAATCTCAGCCCCATGGAACATACATACAGTGTGGGAATATGTTTATCACCTAGATACTTTCTCCAAGTAAATCCTTAAAATGTGAGAAAACTAGAATTCCACCATCTTCATTCTGTGCTATATGAAAGATATTTTGGAAACCACTACCATCAACTTCCATAAACTTCTCACAAATCCTTCTGCAATCCCAGTGAAAGCAATCCATTTATTGTGTTTTCTGAGTGTCTGATCTCCTGTAGATCATGTGACATCTAAACGTCATCCTGAGTCCAGAAAAAATCTTTTACATTAATTGCGTATTTTTATTAGGGATTAGTTATTACCTTAAATTAATAATAAACATAAGCAGTATATAATTAGTTTTCTTATTTACATGTAGAATGGCATGTGTATACAGTTATATATCCACAACCACACGCCCCAAAAGAAATACAGCTATGGGATGGCATTTCCCAAAGTGATCCTCGCTGCTTTGAACTGTATTCACACACAGGGTGGTGAGATCATGCCCACAGCACTTGGGACCTTGTGTCTGATCCGCAGGGTGGCAGATTCCATGTTCTGGAATTCCATGTTGGTGCAGCGCGTTTGGGGGCTGCCTGCGAGGCAGCAGGCAGGCAGGATGGGAAGCACAGCAGGGCTCTCTAACAGCTTCAGAGGCACAGCAGGCAAAGCTGCTGTGCCAGGCTAACTGGGAAAGCTTATGAAAACCCCTCCTTACACCACTTGTGTTAGAGAGGGTCTCTTTCCATGGGAGGGAGTTACTGCCAGACACATCTCTCGTCCAGCTCTCAGCTCATTTTCAGGCCTTGTGGGTGTTGATCCGTTCTTCTCACAGAAGCAGAACGTTCTCTGTCACCTCCTCATTCTTCACAGGATGGTTTGTATGTAGGCCTGAATCCAGGGAAGGAGAATGTCCAGCTCATGGATGGCCTTGTAGATTCCCTGATCTCCAAGCTGTTGAGAAGATAAAGGCATTAGAAAAGAAACTAGCTACAGCCCTTGAACAGTGTAGTGGGGAGCCAGCACATCCTGTTCTTACCTTAAGAAACATTCTCTTTAACTTTTTGACTGCAGAAGTTAACCTTGTGGATGGAGCACAGGGAAGCTGAAGGATGAAAAAACCCAGAGATGGTGACACAGCGATGAGGAAGAGTCCAGCCCACAGTGTGGCACTGTAGGGCTGCCAGTAAAATGTGTGTTCTCAGCAACATTTCAGTATCTCCCAAAACTTCAAATGTGTTCTTTTACCTGTGTGCTTCCTACCAAGCTGAGTTCACACCACCCAAACTTGGCACTATGAGTACCTCTAGGTTTTCTTATTAAACAATTTATCTCAGGAATCTTTACATAAATTGCAGTTACAGCTTTTGCACAGTGAATCCTAGCTCTTAAGATTCAAAGTCCTTTAGCTTTGAGCCCTCAGAACCCCGGAAGCCTAGAGAAGGCAAGGCTCAGGGCCAAAGACCATTGCAAAGTACAGGGAGCAAGTCTGCACATTTCGGCAAGCCTTCCAAATGTGTTTATAAAGTTAATTAATGTTTTTCTGTTTCCCTGCCCATTTCTCCAGTGTCTGAATAATTACAGTCTGGAGGGCTTAGTCTCCTCACCACCTATCTCTGGCCACTCAGCACTGGCCACCCAAAGCTGTTCCAGCTGGATTTTTTAGAGCTGCCAGACTAAGCTTTCTGAGCAACACAGCTTGCTGATCCTCAGCTACCTGGATTGTCAAAAGGGAATATACATTCTTTCAGAGAAAATAAAAAGAAGAATTTCATGTTTTCCAATCTACAAATAATGATAACATGACTGAAAAGAAAAAAGGCAAATGTCCTCATCTTAATGCATGGAAGGAAAAAACTCCTCAGAAATGAGTAATCAGTCCTTTTCTATCTCGCATGCAGTACTTTAAAAATGAGCACAGACATATTCAGGCTACTTTTTGTGCTTCCCAAAGTCACTTCACATGATGAAAGTGGGAAAAAAAGGCAAATTTTTAAAAGAGTGAAAATAAAAGCAAATTTTTAAAAAATCTTCTAATTAGAGCAGTTCTCTCTAACTTAGAGTGCTTTCTTTTTTTTTAATGATCTCCATCTTTTATGATACAGATTTCCACAAAAGATCATTTGGTAGCAGAACTGACCTTATATGAATATGTCTGCTTTAAAGGTGGTACACATTACAAATTCTTCCTGCATATACTGCAAGTAATTAAATGAGCTAACCAGCAAGTTAGAGTATTAAAACATTAACTCAGCTTGGGGTCTACAAGCTCTGCCTGAAATGATAGAGGAATACTAAAGGCTCTGTAGGGAATATATTGTCCTTCTGCACTCTATTCAAATATGAGAAAAGACCTCTGCAATGTGCTACTGATGTAGGAACACAAGTCCAACTTCAGAAGCAACTTCACACTGTTCTCAGCAATGCTGATCAGCGTCCAAAAAGGTAATGAGGTCAGTGGTGCTGCAGGTGGATGCTCCAAGTATCCAAGGAAAAATGTCTGCTCCCTTTACCTTACAGTCATAGGCTAAATGAAAAAGTCTGACTTTACCGCAGAAAATCAGTTTAGAGATGGAGAAGTCCTCATGAAGCTGGGTCCACTGTGGCATGGGACACACCATGTCTCTGAATCACCCTCTGCCCCTCCATCCGCTGAAAAACTGAGATGGAGCCATTTCCTAACCTTTCAGACGGACAAAGTTAGCTTAGCTCTCAGGAATATACTCACACAGGCATCCATGTTTGCTTGCAGAACCTGGAAGGCACTAATAAAGTACAACTTGTCACTTCCTACCTCAAGACGACAGAAGACATTTTTCACATAGAAGGAGAGGAGCTGATCTCGAACACTGCAATTTGTCTGAAAACAAATCAAGTAATGATTTGGCAAATGAACACCTCGAAAGTCAGATTTGGCCTAAAATTTCAGCCTCATAAAAATATGCATATTTAGAAAGTGTGCAATCAATAAAACCATTTTTTATGAATTTTAGTATCCAGTTGACCTGCTTCCTTTTGTTTTAAAGGAGGAGCTCAGTCTGCCTCTGTGGTTTCTGAAGGAAAGGCAGGAGAGTGCTGTGCTGGCAGGCACAGGACTATTGGTAAAACCAATCATGAACAGATGTAACAGCAACAAATATACTTAACACACAAAGAGTAGATAGATAAGAAGATAAAAAGTCAGACCATCTTGGTCAAATTGTAGAATTATATTGTGGGTATAATTTTTCCATTGCTCCACATCACTGTCCCATGCCATTTGATATGCTATAGGGTATCCAGCCCATCCCCAACTGCTGCTCCAGAAAAGACCTGTCAACTCTGTGTCATATCTGCCTGACCTGTGTGTTCTCTTGGACACCTAAAGGTATTTCAAGGTATATAATGCCTATTTTTAGGCAGTGGAATGAGGTGTTAGGTGTGAGATTCCTGTCAGGAGGGTAATGCAGCTGCAGATGACGCCACTGAAATGTGGGTATCTGTGTGTAGGTCTCACAGACAAGCGAGGAGCCTTCACTCCCAAGGTAATCTGTGAAATCCAAGGGACATCAAAGGCCAGTAGGTCAATACTTAAGGATAAGCTAGCTCAGTTTGCCCTGCTGACTAGATATCTGCATGAAGAAAAGCCACACACTTACAGTCACTTACAATTAGACACCCCACAGTTTGTTTCTCACTCCCATGCTGAATTGCACTGGGAACTCTGATATCCCTTTTCCAGTGCACCTGCAGAGGTCCAAGCTCAAAGCAGCTCCTTGGTGTCTCAGCTCTCTGCAGCATCCTCGGGCTATCCATGGTCCTGCACACCCTCAGCAGAATGTGCCTCAGCTGTGGGACAGTGGCTGTGGCTCTGGCCCTCCTCTGAGGGCTGCTGCCTGAAACCATTCCTGGAAGGCTCACAGCAGGAGCAAGTGCTACCACTCCTCCCTGACCAACACCAAACACCCTCACCCCAACTTCCCTGGCAGAACATGCTGCCTACAAAGACGTGCCTCCGGGTAGGCTTTCCAAAACCACCTCTTCCTCCCCATACCATGATCAACCATCCCTTCATGTCCCAGGGGAATATCCCTTTCTTGTGACAGATATAAAACACTCTTTCTCTAATCCAAGAACTTCATCAAGTGTGTGGCTTTCATAAAAGTCTTTCCCAATTAAACACAAGTGATTTTTGCATCAGCTGTCATTGCTTTTGATCACATATTCCTGTTTCTATTGACCAAAGGAAAGTCAAAGTAAGAAAATGGAAAACTGGTAGTATAAATCTTACCATAAACAGCACTTTTGTAGTCTTTTTAAGCAGTCTCGTGGTCTTGATGAGATCCTTCTGTAAAATATAGTGATAGTATTAATTAAGTCGAGCAGAGGGAGACAGTTTCAAGTCTGGTTTGTACAAAACTTAGTAACAATAATATTTATCTTCATCTTCTTCTTCAGATGTAAGGTGAGGACTCAGTGAATCTGTATTCCAACCCTAGCCTAGCTGCAAATCTCTTTCATGGAAAACTCATCTAGCCTCTCTAACCATCTTCTATGCATAATTTTTTCCCACCTTTCAAAATAAGTAGGTGCACTACCCTGTCTCTCAGGACTGCAGAGATCTTTCAACTTATTAAAGTTTCCAGAAGCCCAGTAATTAAACTAATAAAGAAGCAAAAAAAAAAAAACCAACAAACTTTTTCAATTATTGGGATCAACTTACAGGAACAGATGATTTTAAACTAGCTGCCTTGATATACAGGTTCTCTGTCATCTGGGAGAGGAGTCCTTTCCGGCAGGTATGTTTTCCTGTAGGTGACTTTTTGCCTTCCACAGCAAAAAGACAAAGCAGAAATAAAAAATGCCCAGATCTGAAAATAGAACATCCTTTCATCTTCGCTCCCAAATCTTTGAGCCTCTACAGTCACAGCAGCATGTGTGATGCAGCCAGACTGGTTAGATGACAGAGGTTAACCTAATTTTGTTAACCCTCAAAGTAGCTTCTTCCCCGAGATGCTCACGTAGATAACCTATTGCTCATGTGGTGGCAGATAGGTATTTTTGCTGTGCTTTTTTATATATCTTGCTCCACTTTCAACAAATTTGACCACAATCATCTGTGACGTTTTTCTAAACGATATCTCCATATTTACTGGCAACAGGGTCAAGGTTTCCAAGAAAGAAGAACTTCCCTATCATATGAGAAGTCTTCTTTCATTTAAGTAGTGGTCAAGTGAGGAAAAGGTAGTTGAGCGTTGGTTTAGTTTCGCAGCGAAGTATGGCAAATGCATTTTGGGTTTTTTTAATTTTTCCAAAAAACCTTATGGCAGCACTCTTCTGAAAGATAATGGCCCAGAAAGGAAAAAAAGGACTTTCCTAATTTACCCTGAAAATATTAGAAAAACTGTTATCTATAAGGAAGCTGGACTGCATGGTGTTTAAAATTTCCCTGTTCAGTTTTTTGAGAAGAGTATTTTTTCCAGGGTATAGCATCTAATAGCAAAGGTGTTTGCTGCCTATTTTAACTTCTATAGACTTTTTCCAGGGCAGAATTTGCCCCAGTAGGAGCAGTAGGCAGCTTAGTGTGGGAGAGAGGGCTCCAGGGAGGGCCCTGTGGAAGGACCAGGGCATCCTTGGCTACCAAGTCACTAAAAGCCCACCGAGAGTCACGGGCACTGGGAAATAATGTGCAAGACCCCAGCACATCCATCAGAGAGGTGGTAAAATTAAAACAGTAGAATCAGATGATCACTCTTCTACAGAGGTGGTCAGAGACTTCCAAGACAGCCAGACGCTGCAGGTTTCTCAGGTACCGCTCCAGGCAGGCAAGAACATCACTCCAAGGATAGACTTGGAAATCGTGAAGTAACACCAGCCATGTGAGGCTGTTCAGCCAAGGGTGGTTTTAAGTCAAATGTCAAGATCCTGGAACTGGCTGAGATTTGTGCAAGTAAGACGAAGAAAGCAGGCTTTGGTCTAGAACAAAATTTCCTTGAAACTATTTTTGTTGGATGTAAAAGCAAGCCCTTGAAATATTCACACATTTGCTTAATGTTTCAAAAGCAACATAGACCTTAAACAGACTAGAGAAAGTGGTTTAAACTGCAACTGAAATGTCTCAAAATTACCATAATCTCTTAGATTCAGCAGCAGAGCTGTTTGTCCCTCTATGATGCCACCAGCATGCCTGTGCCCAGGACATGTGTCAGCTCTGAGAGGAAGAAAGGTGAGACAAGCTGGGTATTTAATTCACTCCAGCCTCAATCCCACTGACCATTTACACAGCCAGGCATGCATACAGCCTGCAGGCCAAACAGGGTCCTTCAAGCATCCCACCTGTAACAGCTCTGGGAAATGGGAAATGCATTTTTCCCCAGAACCTTCTACACATCACAGTAGCTTCACTGGCACGGAAGTGCTGATGGGGTCCAGGGACAAAAAGAACCAACAAGGGGAGGAGATCTTAGACTTTTGTAAAGTGGAGATGATGATAGCCTCAGGCTCTATTTGCATTTCAGTGCTCTTGTGAACTGTGGTCTGTATTTAAACACTCTAAATGCTGGTCAGGCTTGCCAGATGAGGTGCACTGAACCTCAACACACATGACATGTGGATAGCAGATTAGCCTCTTATTGCTAGTTTGCTCCTAGAAGGGGACCTTGGGTGAAAGCAATACAGTCAGAATGCAAAACTGCCTTGGTCTGGTACTCTTTGGTCAACAGTTTTCCTCTAAATGGAATAAATGGGTCATACAGACACTCTGTAGTGGCTTTTCATAAGAAAATCAATTAAGTTTAACATTTCTGAATCTTCTAATGTTTTTGGAAAACCCTTGAGCCCACAAGTTTCATTTTGTCTTTTCTGTGAAGTTCTATCACCATACTTACAGGGCTGTAAGTAACACCTTTTCACTGGGCTCTAGACACTTCTGGATGTGAATCAGTAAATGTCTTACTGAATTGGCTAAATTTTCAACTGGGTGGTGTACAAGGATGCAGATGGATGCAAGTGCAGGGTAGCCATACTTTAAAAAATAAATAAAAATAAATTAGGGCTTTCCTATCGCTCCTTTTATAAAAGGCTATCATTAATATGGCTACCATTTAATAACCAATCCTATAAAATTCAATTCCGCTTCCACAATTTTTGATATGGCAATTTGATTTCTAGTCAAAAATAGCCAATATTATTCAACTTTTTCATGTGTTACTTGTTCAGAACAAAGATAGTCTTTTCTTTCTGGGTCTTGTGTAGCACTTTGTACTCTGTATTTTAGTGCCACTTCAGCACTCAGACATAACTATGGTATAAGTAATACAGAATACCTAAGAACCAATATTACTCAGTATTCTAAAGTTATAAGAAGCAGAAGAAAAAACAAATTCAGGGACCATCCATTTTAACAATAAAGACAGAAAATACCTGAAAAGCTTGGTATGGGCAGTGGGACTGATGTATCCAGGGACAGTCTGAGGACAACAACAAAAGACACCACAAAGCATGTTGGCTTCCATATGTAGGCTGGAAACCAGAGAAGTTCAAGCACCCTGCCCCAGAGGAAATGGGCTGTCTCTAATGGAAAATTTTAGATGTGTGGGGATTGAGAGACACGGACTCTGCTATACAAGCAAAGCTGTTTATTCACTAGTTCATCAGTATTTATAGGTCTCTAAGTTCCATACCAGATTTTCCACAGTCAGAATTCTCGGTTACCATTCTTTCGCCAGCAATGTCCTTGTTATATTCTTTCATCCCAGCAGTCAAAGTGACCAGACATGACAAAGTCTTCACTTTTGTTCTTGCCTTCAGTTTATCTCTCGCATGGTTTCCACTGCTCCAAGGCCAGGAGGTCCTGGTGGCACTACCCAACTCAGCTTCTGCAGCTGTCTGATCTTCCGCACACATAGACACTATCAGCAAATGCTTCAGGAAAAATACAATTCTGATGACACAAGCAAAGTTCATGTGTTGCATCTATACAGAATGTGTAAAGCTTATGACCATGAGAATGAATAAGAAAGAAAATAACTAAGAAAAATGTGTAAGAAAAACCACCAGAGCAGTGAGCTTATTAGATAAGAAAATCTTGCCTGATTTACCCTGAGCTGGGAATACGTTTCAAAGAAAGCTGTGTATGACCTATGCTCCATGTGAGTGCATGAAAACAGCAGCCTGAGGAAGATCCTTTCTTCTCTGCCTTATCGTGAGCCACAGAAATGTCTTGATCTACATGAGCTTAGAAAATATTATTAACATTAAGTTCTCTTGATCTGTGGAGAACAAACACGTACATCAACAACTGCTGCAAAGTTCTGTTAGTCCATTTAAGGTAACAATCATATGTACTAGTTGTTTTGCAGCTTAAATGGCTTTTTGATCTTCATCCACAAAATGCCTTGTCTAGTTTCTTACTCATGAATCTTCTCACTTTTCACAATTTCTGTTTATTTCATTTCCTGTTTGTATAGCTAGAATTAAATGTCAAGTACTTCCTATGAACATTACTCATATTTGCTTAACTGCTACTAATGTTGTGCTTTCTCTTAAGACTTTTCTCTACTATCTCTTTTGGCTCCTTATCCTGCTTGATTCACTTTGGTCTTCTGAAAAAAAAAAGAGGTCTGCGTGAAGAGTTTCAGTACTTGTCCTCAGAAACATGATTTGATAAACAGCAAAGAAGTTTAGAGAGATCTTACAAAAACTGAAGGTGACAGCACTACTGTTAGGACATAAAAAATTGAGATACCCTAGTACCTCTCTTGGAGAGAGTAGTTTAGAGAAGGGAAGCTCTTACATTCAGTACTGAATTTTCTAAAAATGGTTGTAATAGGTAAGCCTTAAATACCCACCAGAGTTCAACAGTTTCTTGTGACCTTCTATTAGTATAATAGGAACCCTTGTAGCTGCTATAGATTTTGTACAAATACAGAACTATTATGAGTATTTTTCAGACAATGGTACCTAAATTACCTTAGATTAAACTCAGCACATAGGCACCCAGTGATCCACTACCAGTAGCCTCAGTAGTCATAAACATCAGGGGAACAAGAGATTAGCACAAACAGATGGTACCAGCAGCTACAACTTGCATGTTATACACACACTACTCTGGTTAGAAAAAATAAACCCACATAAAAGAAATAAGGACAGTGCAAAGAAAATTAAAATCACTGGATGTCAGCCTGGTGCTTTTCCCATCCTTACACACAGAATCCCTACATTTGTTCATCCGCTTTTCACGGTGCCTGTCTGAACTGCCTTTGCCAAAAAGCAACAAAGATTTAGGTCAGAAGTGATCTCTGGAAGTCATCTTGTCCAACCCTCCTTTTCAAGAAGGGCCTCCTACAGTTGCTTGCCTGGGACTGTCCAGTCAGATTTTGAATATCTCTGAAGATGAGACTTCACAACCTCTCTGGTCAACCTGTGCAAATTTTTTTTCACAGTAGAAAATTGTCTTATATTCAGGTGGAATTTCAGGGATTTTAATTTGTTCCTATTGCCTCTTGTCCTATCACTGGGCACCACTGAGAGAAGCCCAGCTCTCTTCTTTGCTTCCTCTTTTCAGGCATTTGTACACATTGGTGAGATCTCCTTGACTCTTCCCTAAGCTGAACAGTCCTAACTCTCACTGCCTTTCCTCAGACAAAAGAAGCTCCTATCAATTGCCTATGTAGTACTTCACCAGGCCCACAAATCAAATTCTCTCAGAAGTTTTCACTCTATGCCTTACACAAACCTCATAAAAATTTTAAGGTATTAAGTAAAGCAGAAATCAGATTCACACCCAGATGAAGAAGAAAATCTATGCCAAATCAACTCAGACTAAAACAAAAAAAAAATCCCAAACACAAATACATTTTCCCTGGGCATTTGCACTCCTTAGCACTTTATGTA